TGAGGTTTTTGTTTTCTTAAAAGTGCATCATACACTGTAGGTTATACTAAAACTACGCTAATTGGCCTAATTTTTATTTATTAGAAACAAATTGTTCAAGAACTAAAGCCAGTTTTTAATGATCCAAAACAGAAATAAATGTTCTAGTCTATTAGCGTCCTATATGGAATAAATCAATATTAAAGCTAATTAACCCTTTTCAAAGGCATTTTGTCCCAGGTTTTTATTTAATGGTTCAATGCTGCTTAAAGCATGGATCAAGCTGGATAAGCTCCATTTAAAAAATGGCTCATTTTGAAAACAGTTTAGCAGCTCACTATGACAAATATATTTATCAGGATAAACTTGACTTTTCAACTGTATAAATAACTGATCGGGGTTCTGAAAAGATCTGATAATAAAATAGAGATTAAGGGAAACAGTCAAATCTGTCCATTTAACAATGGCATAACATTATTGTAGCTGATTTCACTTGCTTTAAAAAAATATCTTTGGAAATACCTTCAATCTTTACTTTTGAGTCTATTGCTAAGAGCAGGGAGAGTGTGTCTCCATATGAGATATTTCGTTCTAGGTCATATGTGAGATGTAAACCTAGGACCTGTCCTTTCTGGAAGAAGCCATGATTTTTTAATAGTGTTCAAACACATAGTGCAAAGCACACACCTTTCAGGACATAAATGACTACTTTGACATATGAAACCCAATGAAAATTATATACATTATTTAAGGATATTGGTACTCTTCCCCTTTTGTTATACTAGCAAATCACAGAGTGTATTTTAATATCAAGCTATTTTTGAGTTATAAAATAGATGATATATTTTGTACATGAATTAAATTCCTCACAGTACCAGAGGAATTAATTTGTAAGGTTATGAAATTTTGATTAGCTTGCTGTAAAATCAGGATTGTTTACCACAAGTGTCTGGATTCCGACTCTTACAGTCTTTCCAAACAAGTAATGAAATGAACTGGGGGTGAGGGTGAGGGAGGGCAGAGTAATTTATGAAAACACGGTACACCATAATTTTGCCATTTTTCTGCAATAAGGATGGCAAATGATTCATGGGATAAAATGAAATATTCCTCACTGTCATTTCAATGGATCTAAGATTTACAGCTTCTTAACTTGGATAGGAAAAACTCCGTATGCATAAAAATGAATTGTAAATCAATTAATGGTGGGAATGAAAAACAAAAAAAAATTATTTTAAGCAAAGGAGAGAAAAATATAACCAACCACAAATTAAAAAGAAACAACAGCTATTTACACTAAGACCTTAGAAGGAAGAGGCAGCTGAAAGGGAACTGCTAGCTTAAAAGAGAGTATTAAGATCAGATTAAAGAAAAGTGATATGTTGGTGGAGCTGGTAACATTTAGATCACTTAGACAAATGGAAGAAAGTAGCTTCTAAAGCAAAATTGGATACATATAAGTTGGATTAGTTTTTAAAAAATCACAAAAAAGTTAGACTCGATTTCACTGTATAAGGTTTAAACAAAGAAATCCTGTGTCTATGAAAAAGCAGTCTCCAAGAGTCTCCTTAATCAAAGATTTTTTTTTATATATATATAGCAACCAGGAACAAAAGGAAAAAAAATTACACTTCCCTACTCCTTGTGACAATACACTGAAAGGAGAGCTAGCAGAACCAATGAAGAGGTACGTGATTCTGGCTCTACCGGAATCGCCTGTGTTGCCTGGACTACTGGAGTAGATACTACACATAAGTCAACAAACAATGAACTTAAATGTTTGAGACTGGAGGAAACAGTGATACTAGGTGCCATGTTCTGCTGTCTAAGGTGGGCACTGTGAGACTCCACCTCCCTATCCCAGTGAGACATCATATGTATCTAGGACCATAGGATACATACCTTAACCTCCACAGTCTCAAGTCCAATGTGAATGAAGTTAACTAAAAGGAAACAACAGTAGGATTTGCTGAGCAAAGCAATCCAATTCAAATGTAGTGAATGGAAGGTAGCTCTTAACATTTTGCTAAAGTCCTCTTTTGGGGTCAAGTATTTAAATGCAAAGATATTGATTTTGCCAAAAAAAATTTTTTTTTTTTACATAGCACATGACCTGCAGGATTATTCCCGGTGTCACCATGGCTCATATATATCATATTAGGGGCATATACTTCCTAAGTCAGCGAGCTAATTAGAGACCTAAAGTACAAAGTACTCACACAAAAGACTCATCAACTCCATCTCCTATCCAAAATACTTTCATTATGAGGGTGCAATATCAACTGAAAACTTCTATTGTTTCCTTCCAAGTCAAATGTCATCAGGCAAAATCTCACAGTGGTGATAATGCAGTGTGGACAAAAATTGCAAAATACTGATGGTAGTATCTACTTGTCTATTTTGATTACCATAAATTTTATGCATTTTTGACAGCAGGGACCAATGTTCTTTCACAAAATTCATGTTGAAAAATTTTAAAGTACTGGTAAATTTGAAAAGCTAGATCAATGAAAAGCATTTTGAGCTGCTATATACACATATATAACAATATATACATATATAGATATCTATATTACATACATAATGCCCACCATACATACATGTACCTACATATACATATATAGCTATAACACACATATGTGTGTATTATATAGATATAAATACATATCTATATATTTGTTTTTAACAGGCCCTGAACAATTTATTGTTACAAGTCTGCCTGGGAGTTGTGGCTTTGGTGTATTCCATATAATTTCAAAGAAACTTCAAAAGCTCATGTATGCCTTTGAGCCTGCAAGACCAAGAGGCAGTGCATGGAACCCACAAATAGAGAATATGCTCTATATACCTTGTAAATTAAAACCTATAAAATAACATGGGTATTATAAAATTTGTGTTAAAACTGATAACAGCTTTACTGATTTACTGACAATGAAAATATATAGCATTTTTTCTGTCAGAGCATTTATCAACGCTTGGCAACCCTGCACTAACTTGACATGTAAGATGATCAAAATGGATTATGTAATCTTTCCCATTCATTTCTATTGATTTTAGTTATGATAAAATTCATCAGTGTGCCTGGGTACGCTCAGGCTGAAAGGCTCTGGTTGACACACACAAAAAAAGGAAAGGAAAAAAAATTCAACAGAGTTGTAATAGGATGAATGCAATTTTAGAATAGGATTGCAAGGATACAGAAGTTGTGCCCTAAAGCCTCCAGCAACAAATTAATACAAATAATTCTGGCAGTCTCATAAAATTACATCTGTCTATGCAGAGATTCACTTTTGAGATAAAACTACAAAATTCCAAGCTAAAAGAATTAACATGTCCGTGTCATTAAAAATATAATTTGTGAAAATATTTTTAAACTTTTTTTAACTTCCCAGTAATCAAAGTTATTTCTCTGACTGCAAGTAACATCAAAATGCCAGCAAATGGACCATTTTAATCAGTTTTATTGATTCATGCTTTCAGTTCTTATTCAGTTAAAAACAAGGCACATTAAATACACCCTCTTATTGCTCTATAAATGCATGCAGCTCATTCTGTATATCAAAAGTAATAAATAATGGCGATAAAACACCAAGACAGTTATAAAAATGACAATCCAGCCTCAAACATAGTATTTAACAGTCCAATCTAGAACAATAATCCAACACAATACATAAAAGTGCCACATATGAAAACATGCAGTGTGCATATCCAGTCTAGGACCGGGCTTATATTTGATATTCTTTAAAAACAGAGTCATTTTTTTAACACCCTAAAAAGGGTTGACATAATGCAAAACAGTGCAAGTTAAGAGTGTCACTGACTTCAATATTAGTACATTTATATGCCAAAAATTTTTTCAAATACATAAAAAAGGAAGTAAGATCAGTGATCAGTCTTACAATATGTTTATTAAAGAATGAAATTTTTGTTGTACAAAAGAGGAAGCTACATATTTTGAAAAAAGACAAAACAAAGCTAGAGTAGAGCGAAAGACTGGGCATGCATTTCATAGTAGAAATCCCAAAGTTACTCAGTATAAACAGAGGGCAAGAATATTGCAAATAGCATGATGGATGTGCAGCAGACAACCTTGACTTAACAAGTAATCCAGCATTATCATTGTGGTTAAGACTGTGGTAGGGGCTATATAAAGGAGCATCTAACACTCCACCACAGATGGGGGGGTTCCTTCACCTGAACCCCTGTGGAGGCTCTTGAAATAAATCATTTGATAAGACAATCTTTCCCTCCAACCTAATACAATCATCTAATGCCACATTTATATTAAAAGACAAAAAAAATTACTCATTTGCACTTAGAATGCATTTTAAAGGGGCTTATCCCCCTATTTCTTGACTCCTTTTCTGAAATCGTGTACAAAGGATGTACAGGTTTAATTAAGAACATACAGAAAAATGAGGGGGTGCTTTATTCACAGTAAGATTTGGAATCAGCTCATTTCTAAGATGAGTCTCTGGGATTGGTGAAAGAGCGTATGTTTTAGAATTAGCAGATTTTAAGCAAAAGCAGATATGCTCAAAAGAAAAAAAGTGTACTTTTCTTTGTCCTTAAAGGAACTTCATTCATAGCAAAAGCGTGTACAAACCAGGCCTGAGAGAGAGAAAGAGAGAGAGAGAGAGCGCGCGCAAATGTACAATATTGTGGTACTTTATCTGAGATGGTCTAAAAGACAGCTCTTCTACCGACTGTCAGTGGGTTCTAAACAGTGACATTTTATCATCTGTCTTGATAGAAAATTACTAAATTACAAAGCCCATGCTCCCATTTATTAAAATAAAATAAGATAAAAGCCAGCATAAAGAAAGAAAAAATTCACAGTGATCCCTGGGAGCATCACTAGCTCTGTTTGGGTTCCCCTTCAGGAAGTGCGAGTCTAAACTCCATGTAAAAACACAAAGAATGAAGATGTGATCTTTCCCTGTAGTCTCTATTATTTGGAGGAGGTGGGGGAAGTGGGGGCGGGGTTCTTAGGTGAGTGACTCTCCAGTGTTTCTATTATGACATACAGATTCATATGCCACTTGAGTGAGGCACAACAATATTCTACTGTCTTGACATAAATAGAAATAACAGCACAAAAGGACCTGACCAGTTTAAAAAACTAAGACCTCAAGTGTGCTCAATGGCAACCTTCCATTCGATGAAGGGTTACATTTCCTATTCTCTACACCTTACCTCCAAACATAAAAATAGGTAGCTAACTTCACCAGGAGGAAGCACAATGAATAAATAATTCAGATGACTGGTTAAAATGCTACCAAAAATGTTGCAAAAGTATATCAATTCACCTTTTAAATTTGTTTAATTCAGCGCAGATTTATTTTTGGTTTTGTTTTTGTGCCTCTATGTGTCTCGAGGCAGGGTGTAGTGGGGGCTTTTCTGTTTTCTTTTTGGTTGATTGAGAATGTTGGAGGGGAAAGGCTTTAAGCAACCAAATGACCTTGAATATTGCAGTGTTTTACCTTTCTACAGACAGTTAAAGTTAACTAAACGCTACTTGTTTATTTTATATCTGTTTATAAATACTCCCCCCAAATGATGCAATTAACTAGGCAACATAGCATGTCTGACAATATCACATGATCCAAGATTTATTTAGGATTTTGGGGGATTGAAAAATGTGTTATCATAGGTAATTCTATAACATGGTTTTAATTCCTTAAATTCATTATACTCTAAAGATTTGAGAAATTTAGTCTCATCCTATTATATCCAACTTGCCACTTAAATGCTGATTTTAAAGTAAGAAAAGCAGATATTTCTGGCAACTATAATAGTCAAAGAAAAACCAGCAAGGGGGGTGGGGGGCGGTGGGAATGAATCGCTGAAATGAACCTATCACTGTAACTCTCAGCAAATGTCACTGCTATCCTTATCTTATACCTGTGATTCTGGTAGCTTTCAGAATTTTTCCTTGAGTCTTGCTCCTGTTAAGATCTAAACTATTTTTTCTCCTTCCAGTTTTGCCAGTCATGCTCTAGATATAAAATTATGCAATATTGTTTGGATAAGGAAGGCAGACAAACCAGAGAGGAGGCTGACGAGTCTCCAGAAGCACTTCAACAGTTTGCTCGATTTCTTTTAAGAAGTAACTGTCTACAAGCTTAATGTCCAGAGTTTTGTGCATGTCACAAAATTTTCCCAGCTTCTTTTTTTCAGTCTCTGTCAAAATATTCTGCCTCTAGAACTGATTTAGAATAAATGAATAAACAAACAAAAAGGGAGCATGTCCAGTCAAATAGATCACAAAATGAATGCAAAACATTAAATCAGTGTGCATTGAAAATGAGGGAAAAAAAGATAAAATACACTTTTTAGAAGCTAGATTGAATGGGAAATACAAATAAAGGATATACACCAACATCCATCCTAAAACTTTGGAATGTTTCCTAATGTTTAAAAAAAAAAAAAAAAAAAGGCAGCTATCCATATCCACTATTCTGGAGTGGTGTTAAGTCATCTCTGGTTGTTACATGACGCTTTGTTGTTCCTACATTTGTTGACTGTGGATTTACTGCTCAGACTCACAAGCCTCCACAACTTCGGTCCACTGGAATGGGAACTCTTCTATCAAGGTTTTCCTCTGCAGTTTTCATTAGTATAGCAAGCCGGCTCCCTGATACCCTTCCTTTTTGAATAGCACTCATCAGCTGTAAAAGAAAATAGGCAACAGAGTCAGAAGGCAGGCCAGCTTCCTCCCACATTTTGTTATCCTGCAGCAGGCAGAGGTAATCAAGAGCTCCATCAAAAAGCATAGCAAGTCCTACAGTACAAACAGGAAGAACCCATATTTTTGAACATGTCATAATGGGGAAAAGGTGCAGCTATTTTCACCACTGCTCCAAAAACTACATCCATCTAGCATAGTAGTCTACCTTGAATTGCAGATCGAATGCACCACCTTTTGTTCCCTCATGTGTTCAGGTCACACTTTTTTCTTTTTTTAGCAACCCAAATATTGGATCTCTAATTCCATTTAAAAATCTTAAAAAGGAATCTCAGGGATTTAAGAAAGACAAACCATGACCTATATTTAACTACTCTTTTTTAGTGTTACTGTACTTGACAACTTCCGAGTCCCTTAAATCCAAATTCCTTAAAGACTTTTTAAAGTAATTTACATCTAAGTACTTGAAAATGGACCCAGCGATCTACCTTAAGAATTAAGAGCACTCCACGGCCCAGATTTTAGCTAATTCATTTTTATCCAATGGATAAAACCAGAATTAGTCTTGAAATTACATGCAGTCAGCAGGCAAAGGCCTTTAATCTGGAAGGCACTTTGCAATTATGAGCATGGGGATTTTTTTTTTTTCCTTTTCAAGCTGATGTGGTTTTAACCATTTGCTTTTCTCAATCTCACTTTTCCAATTTTCTTTATTTTAAAAAGAATTGACCTAGTCATTCATCAGAAATATATAGTGATCCTCAAAATGTTTAGGGTTTTAGCTTTTAGCCTACATAGATACATTTCTTTAAAATGGCATCTGCCAAGGGGCTGGATCAGAATTGCATGACCTTATTAAAAGCTGTTTCACAAGCTATTGCTGATTAGAGATGGACTCCTACATGCAGAAGTGTCATTAGAGCCGAAAAATAAAGTCATGTCACCACACAGGATTCTTCCATGAGGATCACTGAAAAACCAGGTCTATGTTCAAAAAGGTGTTTAATGGGGTAAATTTAAGCTTTCAATCTTCAGAAAAGGAAAATATTTTATTTAAAAAAAAAACCTGAAAATGTACTTTCCATGTGACAAATGATGTCACGGAAGGAACGCTGACATCTAAAGACAGAACAATTTATTGTTCATCGCTTTGCCTCTGATTTCATGAAGACCTTCAAAGTTTATCAGAGCTTACAAAACTGATAGAACTAGTTCTTTTTTTCTTTACCCATAAACATTATGTGATGAACCCAGTTTTCCTTAAACATTACATTTATTTTTGAAAACATATTGAAAGAAAAAAAGTAACAGTTGAGTATTTCATGAGAAATATGCTCAGCATTTCTTAAGTTGAAAATTACACTGTGTATTTGCACTTAGAAACATGAATAGTCCCTTTTATTTAGAACTGTACAAGACATTCTCAATTATTAAAAAACTACAATAAAAAACCTGCAGATGGTTTAAATTATTTTCTGAGTTTAACTCTACTGCACTCAAGAAAATTACTTAAAATCCCAACCACACAACATAGCCATAAAATTAGATTCTTGCTATTTCTAAAACCCCAGGTCTTTCAACCCTTAAAGCTGTTGTTTATTTACAATAAACATGAAATGAAGCAGAAGCTATTTCTTTGAAGAAAATTTTTTTAAAATCCAGAGACAAATAATATTCTCAAGGAAAAAAAAAAAAAACCAGACAAAAGATGTATTAAACAGTTTGTAATTCCCAAGTATAAATTTTAAACTCATTTTAAAATGCACGTTTAGTTGAACAGTAAGCTAAAGAACTAAACATTCTTTTTTGTAATGCTGGACACAACCTGTGAAAATTTTCTGCATTTAGATTCAACAATGCTCTTATCTGCAGCTCATCTCCAGAGAGACAATTACCATTTCCTTTGCCTTGATCTTGTTTGTTTAACTTGACACAGTGAAGAAAGGGCTGACATTGACCAAAATCCCCAGCATTAATTTATTTCATGTTCAGCATTCATCATTGCCATGGTGCAGGCAAGACCTGGCATTCATTTGAAATACCTGCCCACGAAACACTGCAGAAAAAACCTGACTGCTTGGAAACCAATACATTCTTCATATGATCAGAGTCCTATGGACAGCTACAAATAATGTATGGGTTTGTTGAATTTCTTTCTTTTAAGGAAATTTTAAGGAATGATGCGTGGCATCCAGTTTCAAATTAAAGTAACAAAATTTATTCCCTTCATGGTTACAATTAAATTGAGTTTTGGTAAGTGGAAACAGAATTGCTTGAATTAAACAATCTTGACCCCAGAATACAGGTTTCCTTTCATTTGCTTTTCCAATTTTTTATAATGTAAGAATAAAATAATCGTGTTCTCAAGTGAATATGACTCTCAGATAATACAACCATAACTTTTTCATCCATAAGAAAAATTACTTTCTACATTAGAAATATTGCGTTGCCTCTCTAAAAGCAGGCAGAGTGGTTCACAGTGGTATTCCATGGCATTCTTTATAAAACCTACTTCTAATTCATTCCTTTGAGCAACAATTAATTTGAATTTAATGTAAATTACCCAACATACAGGATGTGTCTTACAAAAGGAAAGAAGAACATGGACCCTTAGAACCTTTCTTCGGGAAAGATGTATCAACTGTTGCTAGCTTCAAGCTTTCATCTTTTTCTCTCTCAGGCAGAAGGGACACCAATAGGGGCTTAAAAATCCATTACTGAACATCCTTTGACAAACAAAAAATAATTGTTTACTTTCACCACTACTCACCTGCAAAAATTCATTGAGTTCAACTTGTCCATTTTTGTTCAAATCTACTTCATTCAGAATTTCATGTAGTGTATTTTCATCCATTTGGACATTGATACTCTAAATTTAAAAAAAAAAAAAAAACAGAGGAGAAGAGGTCAAGTTAAAAATAATGCATACCAGTTTGTTAATGCTACCAATCTTTCAAAAATTAAAAGAAATATTACTTTAGAAAGTACTAGATAAGAAAAAATTCTAATATTATTTTTATATTTTGCTGTCAAAGATACTGAACCAAAAAATATTATTACCTCTAACACACGCTGAACATCAACAATGGTAATAAAGCCTTTTTGGTCTGCATCAAATTTATGAAATCTCTTCTTATACCTGGAACACAACATGGAATGATGAAAAAAATATATTTAAGCAGATGAAGAAGAGAGATAGATAGAAACTTATTAGAATTACCTGTCAATGTCTGAAGGCAGGAGGCTAATTTCAGAGCGATCTGTTAGCTGTTCTGATCGAGATTTATAGCCCATTTCATAATACAGAAACTTCCTGGCTGTTTCAAGTTCTTCCTAAAACACAGACACACAAATTTCACAGATATATGGAAAGAATTAATACTTGAATTTTTACTCCTTTTCCTTCTTTTGGTCTTCTAAAAAGAGACTCATCCTCTGAACGGCACATTTATTTTTATTTCTTCCAGTTTTGTTGAAGTATAATTTGCATTCATTAAAATTCATTTATGTTAGGTACACAATTTGGCATACATGCTATGAAGATCAAGATACAGAACACAGCTATCACTCTAAAAAGCCTTCTCATACATATTTGTGGGTGATCCCTTCACCTAGCCTCTGTCCCAGGCAACCACTGACCTGCTTTCTGTCATTGGTGTTGCCTTTTCTAGAATTTTACATAAAAGGGTTCATGTGGCAAGGGTTTACCTAGTTTTTTGTGTTTACCTACTTTCACACAGCATGATTCTGAGATTCATTCATTCTACTGCATGTTTTATTATTTTGCTTCTTTTGACTGCTAAGTATTCTCCCACAATATTGATTAGCAAAATCTACAATGCTGTATCTCTGTGATTTCGTATTTAAAAGCTATTAAAAGTGAAGATGCCCAGGACCTGAACAACTGCTAGCATGAAGTGCCCAAGACAGATGTCATGGGACTAGTTACTCTGAGATGTTGTCACTACAATACTAAAAGTTGTGCGGAAATTACAGAGTTGTAAGAGGAAACAAGCTGTCCCAAATACTCTTTCTGATTTCAATTCCCAGCCTCAACTTAAGCTATTACTGAGAATACTGACTTTCTCAGTTTTCATCATGCCACTTCTCCTATTAAGAACACTCAAAATGACTTTGTACTGCTCATAATTATCTTTTCTCCCTTTTACACACACGCACACACACCCCACCACTCCATGTACTGCTCAATTCCATTGATCTGAGCTTGCGCATATGACTTCTTTGGCCAACATGAATGGATGTGATATATGGTATTTTTGAGTTAAAGCTTTAAAAGCAACTGCACAGTTTCACTTAGACTGTTGTTCCTGAGTCATGAGAAGGGCATAAATCAGAGATCAGAATCCAGTCAGGAATACCAAGAAGAGTCCCAGCAACTAACAATGTGCTTTTATGAAGTATGAGTGGAAAATAAGTATTTACCATGTTTCCTATATAGTATAACCTAGGAAAGCTGACTAGTAGGACTCCTAGACTCCCCATCAAAGGATTTACTAAATCAATGGTTCTCAAATTCTGGTCTGCATCACAGTGCCAGTGTGGAGGAAAACAAAGGAAATGAAATAATGACACACACACACACTTGTATGAAATGTGTTTATATGTTTTTGTTTATGTCAATGACAAATCCCTCTAAGCATATTTGTTGGGAAGACCTTTTTTTCCCCAAGATTATAAAACTCTCCACATTGCTCCAAATTCTCCACATTTCCTTTTCAACATTTTCCTCCAAAAATGGAAGTATGAGATTTCCGCCTAAAGAGGGACTATAGCCATAGAGAAATAACTCAATGCCACAAAAAAGTAGCCCCTATTGGAAAGATTCCACTTGCTGAAAAGTTTTATGTTGAGATTAATCCACCTTTTTGCAATTCCCCCAATTTCTCATGGACTGGCAAAACTTCCTCAGAGTGATGTCTTCTTAAAGTCTAATGTTTTTTCTTTCCCATATCACAGCATAACAAATATTTACAGATATGATCATGTGTTTTCCTCCTTATAAACTCCTCCTCTGCATAAGATGTGATTTCAAATCCTTATACTACTTTGGACAATTTCTTTCAGAACACTATTGGTCTGTCACATAGCACAATTTTTAGAACAAACCCAATTATCTAACAGAGATCTGGCAAGTACAGAAGGGAGTAACTATCACCTTCATCAATTCCGAGATGTAATTTCATTAATGCAGCTTAAGACTGCAATTGCATTTAGGGGCAGCCGTGATCCACTGGTAAATGCTATGCATTCACTATTAACAAAAACTGTATTTCTTTTCTGCATGTGCTACTGTAAGCATTGTCAAATCTATGTTGAATGGATGGAGTTGTTTTTCTATCTAATGTAAGATTTGCCATTTACCTCTATTAAATTATACCTAATGACATTTCACCCATTGCTTCAATTTGTTATCAAACATCCACTCTCCCTTCAGTTTCTGGCTATTGGTACACCAAAGAGGCACACCATCAATACTGTATTCTAAGCACCTGAACCAAAGTTTCCTAGGTCAAGACTCAGGACAGAGTCCTTATGACCTGCTACCAGAGGTCTCTGCTGTGGCCAACAGTGCTCATTTGAATAGTTACAAATCTATCAGTTTTAGAAAGATATCACTTGGGGTTTCATAAAATGCTTTGTGGAATCCAAATACATTATGTCTATGACGTTTCTCTAATCTAACAATCTTGTTGCTATTTCTGAAAAGAAAATGAGATATATGAAATGATCTTCTTCAAAATGGCTTTCACGAGCTTCAGTGATCACTACTTGCTAAATGCCGGTAAAACAAACTTAAAATGGTACAATCAAAAAAACGACCTAATATCAATGCTAAAATCACAGATTTCTAGGTTACCAAATATATCTTTCTCTTGTCTCCCTTTATGGCACTTATATTTGCCCACCTTTGTATTTCTAATTCTGATCCTATTTGCCACAATATTTTAAAGTGCAATAATATTTAAATAACCCCACCTGCAAATTTTACCCTTTGGTGTAATTTTTCTGGGCCGGCATACAAGCCCATTCAGATCAGTCCCCTATTTAAGTATCTTTTTCATCTTACCAGTATTTGTTTTGCTCTTTTTACACACACAGAAAAATCACTCCCCTTCATAAACACACACACACACACACACACACACACACACACACACACACAGAGAGAGAGAGAGAGAGAGAGAGAGAGAGAGAGAGATTTGTATTATATGGAGTCTCCCTTTTCTCCAGGATCTGAGAATATGGAACCAGTCACCTTAAACAATACAGACTTTACTTGAATTCATTTCAATTTTTCAATTTTTTCATTTTAAAGTTATTCTTGGTATCTTTAGCATTTTTATCGACACTCAGCCAATTCCTGACACTACTTATATACATCTACATTATTTCTGGGTACTCTTTCAACAAGTATTGAGCACTTGTCTTCCATCTGTTTTACACTTGGTGTTTCTCAACTTGCTTTCTTCAGAGTCACTCCATTTCTTCATTTACTTCTCATTATTCCTCCTCATAGAAGTCAACTTTTGAAAGAATTACTTTCAATGAGACTGACTCAATCAAATTAGGTGGTCTCTTCTTCAAAGTCTCTCAATATAACATATGTTTTGTCTGAAGGTTATAAAGGCGACCTTACCAAATACTACAACAGCACTTCCCCAAATACATCCTAAGCAAGACTAGTCTCCCTCCTCTCATTCAACCTGTACACAAAGTGAGTATTGGGTTTGTTGTCAATGAGTCCCCTTATAGAAACTGACAATGCATATAAGCATTTCTAAAGACACTTAATCTGACTGAAGAAAATCTTTACAGTTTTAATTCAGAATTTTCCAAACTCTTTTAACCATTTTAAATTTTCCAAACTCATTTATTTTCCAAACTCTTTTATCCTTTCACTATATTAATTTATACTTTTAAATATATATACTATACATACAGTGTCATGTTCTATAAATGCCCCCCACCAACTCTGTCAATCCCTGACTCCCCTAGACAACCTCTTCCTGTCTATTCTGTTTTCCCAAGTTGGTTGGATTTGGTTTTGAGTATCAGTTCCTCTAAATCTTTCTCTAAATTTTGGAAAAATATACATACATTTCTGAGGTACATATGTGTTGTAACCACCTGAAGAGATTTCGAGATCCCTGAAACAATGAGCTATTTATTATTCCTCTAAAATATCTGCTATAATGTTCAGTATACAAGTCACTCATTAAGTATTGACTGATAAAAACAACCACAATTCATCTACAGAGTGTTATTTATCACCTTGTTCCTCTTTCACTTTTGCAGGTTAAATAATCCCAATGCTTTTAACCTTTTCTCAGAAGTCCAGCTTTCTAACCTTTAATTCTTTTTTTTTTTTTTCCTTCTCCTTTGTTCTCTCTAGACTGTGCAAAGCTCTCATTAACACTTCTATGTCTCAGATACTGTGTAATAACTTTAGGTCTTTTATTTCTGTTACTTTGTTTGGGGGAGGGGGAGAACAGGAGAATATTTCTGAAGATATAAAATCTGCTCATAAAATTTGAACTGAGTGAAACTAGTTTCCTCAGGAGGCCTGAATACAACCAGTTTACAGGAATTTCTTCCTCCTTTCTACCTCCCACAGCCTAAATTCCTGGCACAGCATATCTTCCTGCATATTCAAATCTTCCTAACCATAACTTCTGCAGGAACACATTATCCCCAATGCTTCTATATGGTAGATATGATTGGCAGTAGCACAGGAGTAAGTTTCTCTTGTGCTGTCTCTACATAGCTTTAGTTGATCAACCAAAACTGAAAGTGGAAGAGAGATAAGCCACTCATGCCCATGCAGAGGCAACAGGGCAGGGTGGGGAAAGTTTAGATTCTAGGTCAGAGAGCTACTTTTCAGTCCCAGTTCCACAATTTTCTAGTTGTGTGAACACTGACCATGACTAGAACTTGCTTATTCAACTATAAAATGGGAGTAAAGGTTATCCCTGAAAGGGCTGTGATTAGGATTAAGGATCTTTCTCAATGAGTGATTTTCATCATCGGTATACTACATGCACTGTACTACAATTACTAGAGGAGAATTAAATGAGTTAGAAATAAAATGCAGGATCATGGTTTTGTCCCTGAAGATTCTGCCTCTGATAGTCTATAAAGTAAAAGCCTCAAAATCTGTCCTTTCTCGGGGCCACCCTGGTGGTGCAAGGGGTTAAGACACAGCACTATGAAGCTACCCGCAGCCACTGTAGCACAAGTTCAACCCCTGGCCAGGGAGGAGACCCACATGGCGCAGCAGACCTCTCCTGGCTCACCCGCTGCTCCCCTCAGCA